ACTGGGTGGAGAGAGGCACTGTGAGAGTTAAGTGTCTTGCCCAAGAACACAACGCAGTGTCCCTGGCCAGGGCTCGAACCCAGACCACTCGCTCCGGGAACGAGTGCACTAACCATAAGGCCACCACGCCTCCAGTGAATCACAAATAGTCAGCTTGCGGGGCAGCAAAAAATAATAATCAAAAAAAAATAAAAAATAAAAAATAAAATAAATAAATAACTGAGTAAAAACCAAAAAAAATAATAATTTACTAAAAGGGTTGTGTCTTATAGAACTTTACAGTAATGTCCACCCATTTATACATGCTGCATTGGACTAATTTTGTACCAAATGAGAGGCTTTTCAACTTTTCTGTTAAATCCCTGTTCCTCCCAAACATGAAAACAGGTTCACCCTCTAACAGAAGCTAAAAGCCACCTTAACCATACTTTTAAGACAGTACTAAGTAAAGAATGTCATTAAATTTTAGCTTATTATTTTTATTGAACCAACCATTGTCGTACAAATTCTTGAGATATAAGTTTTTCTGGATCACCAAATATTTCATGTTCTACCCTGAAAAATAAAATAGGTATCCAAGGGGTACATGTGTGGGATACAAACTCATTTGCATTAACAGACATGAGCCGATGACAATAGTGTGAGATACCAAAGGTATCCCACACAATAAACTAAAAAGCCATACATGTATTAAAAAAAAATACACACAAAATTGCACTAAGGTCTACAAAAAGTAATTCTAATGTAGACTTACAAGCATTTAAGGCAAGAAGACTTAATGTTAAAGAGGCTTGAATTGAATATGTTCAATATGTTGTCATTCAAACGGCTTGACTAACTAGTTTCAATTGATCTTCTTCACTTGAGTAATATATTTACATGTACCTTGGTTCAATGCCAAGCTTCTTTAATGTGTGCCACAACAATGCTAAATACAAACAAATATTAAATATTTCAGCATGTTGAATTTAATACATTTTATTAAAATACAGTCAGTTTATAAGGCTATTACAAAAACATGTAATTACAGCTTTAAAGGTTTCATTTCATTTCTGACATTGTTTGACTGGAAGATGGTGGAACTAAACAACAAACCAGACATTGGATGATGCCATACAAAACATAACGTTAATGATTTCAAATAGTATGTACATGCACATGCAAATTTGAAAAATGCTTGGATATTCACATCTGTTAAGCTTATCACCTAGCCAAACAGAGTGAAACCCTCTTTTGTGGGAATAAATTCAGGTACATGTACTTACATTCGCTAATCACATGGTCAGACATGAAAATCAAGCTCAATGCAACCATTAGCAGGCCCATTTTGGGAAGATCATCTCCCCTGCAACAACATCAGTTAAGGGAAAATTTATTAATACGAAAGAAAAATACTTAACATGTATTTAATCACTTTCAAGTGCAAACTACTCCAAGTACAGAAATTTGGGGTTGGCAATTGCATTTTGGTGTGAGTGATGTTTAGTGCCTTTTGTTGTGAATATTTTGTTTAATACTGTACATCATTGTTCACACCAATGGTTAATTATTTAATATTTGCTTTATTTTGCACAACACAAAATTTTTAATTCTCAATAATATCATTGTTTCTATTTTGTAATCTTTTCTCATGTTCTATATCTATCATCATTTCATCTCATTCCTGATCGTGCCCTGCAGGACCGGTCTTTCACAGATGCTGTTGCAGCCCCCCATGACTGCCATCCCCATCTCCTTTTGCTCTCTCTCTCTCTGCACTCCTCCAGGCTGCATTAAATAGGTTAGCTTCAAATATCAGAACACATGCTTCTCTAAATACATGTACACTGTATGATGTACAGCCTTAGGAGAGAACACAGGGTACATTTTACACTTGTTTATTTGAGCTCTGTACACATTGCTGTTTATCTGTGTAATAATTCAGTTTGTTAGTTTCTTTCTCATCCTTTCCATCCTTAGGTGAAGAGAGATTTATTTCTGTTACTTTTTGGTTTGGTATAACAACTAGGAAATAAAATAATCTCTCTTTATACCAAACAAAGCTGGTTTTGTGTTCTGAATTATTGGTTTGAGGCTTATTTTGATATTCTGGGGAAGTCCAGTTTTAATTTACTTGTTTTGATAAACTTGGGTTTGGAACTGTATTTCTTGTAAGCTTGTACTTTTATTTGCCATCATAGTGTAGTAGCTGTTATTGTACCAGGGCTAGGCAAACGACATTGTTTCTGTTGTTTGTTCTTTTGGTCTCTCTAAGAGTATTGAGCCATTCATGTGGGACCTGGGAAGAGCTCTTACCTGACCCTTTGCACTGTCAGGATAAGTCTGGGAATAGAGTAACCACCCCGACAATATCATTTGAAGGGTTTAAAAGTGATGAAGGTTCTCTAGTATTAAGTAAAAATGAATTACCAGTCCATTAGCTGATCTTGTTCTTCAGTCTTAGCAGCATCTACCAAAATGTAACCTTTTGCTTTGCCTACTTCAATTTCTTCTACTTCTATTCCAAAAACCTATTTATAACAAGAAAATAATACTTAAAACTATAGTTGTCCAACATTTCGATGTTGCTAACCTAACATCAAGGTAAAAAATAATGAGTTTTATCACCATGTGAATATAAATCAGCATTGAAAAAATGTTGCAACAAATTCAATTGTCTTGTCCATGAAATGCTAATTAATCAAGATCTAAAGCCAACTCTGAATGTGCAAACTGACTCTATCCATGCAAAACTATTTAAGTGAGATCACAAAGTTACGTAAATGCCTATTATAGTAGTTCTACTAATTCATATTCACACCATGATAAAACTGTCATTTTTACTTTGATAATGATGTTAGCAACATCAAAATGTTGGACAACTAATAGTTTTATTATTTCTTTTGAAGTTTTTTAGTAAGCCGCTAAAAATAATAATTTAATACTAACTACTTAATAACCGAGAGTGAGGTCGTTACGGGAAAATCTCAAACTGAGGCCTTGCCGTATTGACCGAGCGATAGCGAGGTCAATACGGT